GTTTTAACTGCTGATAAAAGTTACAGAGGATATGGGACATGTGGAAGCCTCTACTGTATCAAATTGACATAGGAATAACAGAGTTGGACATTCTTAGGTAAAAACCCAGCGCATACAGCGTTCATGTATTTTTTATTTTCATCCAGACGGCTTCCCCCCTCCCCCCCTGCAATGGCAGGGCGCCCCCCCTAGGGGGCACACCCCACAGTTTGGGAACCTCTGATCTAAGCTATACTCATTGGGGTCAAATACAAACAAATCCCCCCAAGTAAGATTTGGTAGATGGCCATTATTAACTTACACCACAACCACATCTTTTTGTAGCAATGTTATACAAAAAAAAAAAAAAAAAAAAAGTTGAATATTTGGCAACTTCTCTTGGCAGAATTGGTGTAGTTCATTTCAATTATTGTTTTTTGGGCAATGATAGTGCTTAAGACATTTTCGAAGAGGTGTTTGCAGAAATTTACTGTCAGCCTGCTTTATCATTTCCAAAACCAGGTTTATGGTCTATGGTTATGCTTAGAACACCAAAGTGTGTGCAAGGGATTGCCAGTTTTCAAATTGGGAGATTTTCCAGCTTTTCCTTAGTTCTACTGGTAACTGTTTTGGTCAGCTTAGACAAAATTGGGTGATTCAACATGGAAATGATACCAAAAACACATCATAGCTGGTCTGACAGACAATGGTTCATGCTTCCTGAAATTGCCTTGCAAAACTTTTTAACCTCCAACATATTGAAATTTTTTTGTGTTAAAAGTTAAAGGCCAGATAAGTGCATCAAATCCAAATCTGTTCAGTAAACTCTACCAAATTCTACCAATTGTTATTCTGCACTAACAAGTGGTCCATCCACAATCTTGAATTGTGGCATAACTTTGATTTCCAAAGAGAATCTAATTGCTGAAACACATCTAATCCATAAAGGATCACGATTATATGGACAAAAATTTAATCTAGTTTCAAAATGTTTATGCTCATGTTGACAAAACTCTAAATTAACTGGTTTTTATTTGAGAAGCAAATTCAATGACAAGTATTATGTATAAGCTACTTTAAAAAGTTAATGCCTCTTAAATTTGTCAACATTAAGAGGCACTGAGTAAGGAAGCCACCCTATGTTAAACTTTGCCTTTGTTTGCACCCAAATTTAGGTTTGCTAATCAGGCATAAAGGATGGGAGGGAGAAGAGGAAGAGAAAGAGGTCGAGTCAGCTGTGAAGTGACCATCAGGTTATGTAAATGCAGACTAAAGGCAGCGAGGACACCACGCTTTGGGAGCTGGAAAAAAATATGCGTCACCATTCAAAATCAATTTCTATCGATCTTCTGCAGTGGCATTACCATCCAATACCCACTGAGAGTCAAAGGTATACTGCCCCAAAAATGGAAAAAAACAACACATCAAAAGCAAATGAAAAAAGAACATACATACATGTTTATTTTACAAGAAGGGCACATTTGTTTTTTTGTCTTTGTACAAACTGTAAACTAAATATTTCTCAGGGTTATAATCTTTGACATAACTTTCATGGATCAACACCAAAAACATGTAAGTCAATACACAAATTCTCAGTGAACTTTGCATGTTATCATAGATTTTAATCCCACACTTGAGAAAACATACAGCATGTAAGTCTGCTACACACATTAAGGATTCTGAAAGATAGAAAGCACTTGTGTTCATCACAACTACATTTTGAACATCATTGTACAATACTCTATCCCTGCAAACCCCAACCCTTATTACTGCCATTAACTGTTTAAATAGTTTTTTGTATTTTTTTTTTTTTTTTACATGAAACTTGCTGACTGACGTTGAGGTAGGGACTCTGTCATTAAGTCAGACAGTTAAATGAGGTGAAACATCATTGCTAAAATGGCTCCATACTTGCAGCGCCTGGCCACTCATTTTAGGAGGACACACAGAGATTCTGCACTGTCAGATTTGCTAAAGTTGTCATTCGTCACTGCTAGAACACTGATGGAGAGACTATGGACTGTCACCACAGCCATAGCTCCCTCAAAGGAACTTGTAGGGTCTCCCAGAGGAAATGCTCCACATCAAGCAAAACATTTTGCTCCTGGGAGTTTTGCACTGACATCGGCGTTCTCCAAAATCAAAACAGGGCAAGCTGGAGAGATGATTCACAAAGCTGACAAGGTGAAGGCTCGTGAAGAGGGCTGGGGGGAGGAGTGGGGTTATACAGAATCATAAAACAACAAAGATCATTTCAAATGAAGGTTTTAGTAAACCATCATAGGTTTACCAACGGCGTGTATAAAAAGACGTCACAAGAAATGGCAAATTAATCTTAGTGTCACCAAGAGTCCCCACATACCCCAACGTTCAGCGTATAAAACACTGGTTATGTCACAGCATATGCTAAAAGTACATCCACATTCAACCAGACATGAGAACTTTGGCAAAAAAAAGAAAGAAACAGTATAAATACAGATAAAATAACCAGTCAAGCTTTGATTTAGGGCTTTGATTTGGCGCTTTAATTTAAATTACAAAATAAGAAAGCAGTCAGCTCTGGTTGCTGAACTATAAATCTAGTATTTGTTAACATCATGAACGCTCATCAAGTCGACAGAGGCAGTCTAGAGAAAGAGACAGAGAAAGAAGGAGCTGCTGGGAGTGAAGGGAGAGGGAGGGGTTTGAGGAAAAGCCCACCCGGAGGCAGTTTTCTTTCATGTCCGGTTCTGATGGATTGCACACACGTCATGTTTTATCGCTTGTTGTGGCCGGGATGTGTTTTGAGATAATTACAGAGAAAAAAAATTAAATTAACTAGTGCTGAGTGAGCATGCTATGGGTGATTGTTTGTAAAAGAAACTATAAGGGATCGTTCACAGTTCATGGCACTTTGTTTCACTGTTGCCACTCTCAACATGAGAGAGGGTGCTAATCCAAATTGAGCCTGAAAACATCAAATCCTAACCTGATGGAGCAGAGCACATGAGAGGCTACAGAGAAGCCAGGAGGACAATGAGCTGCTTTTGTGACACAAGCCAAGCAACATATTGAGCTAAAAGCTTTCCCCCCTCGCTTTGGTGCCATCCAGATAGCATTGGATTTTCCAACGCAGGAAAATCAAATGCTTTATTCAAGACCAATTGCCTTGTATTGGATTGGTTCTTCCTTTCTCTGATGTGCAACAGTTTCACAGCATCATGGGCACAAACAACATGCGGTGAATGATCTGCATGCAATGTCAGCGTGAGGGTTCCTTCCCCAGCAACTTCAAAAAGAACTGGAGTAAACTTTGACTGGACCGCTGAATATATTTAATACAAACTAGATATAAAGAATACGTTCTTTATTCAAGTGGAGATTCTTAAATAATTTAAAATGCTAGGTTTAAGTCTAATTTTAATGTTGGGGTAAAAAATATATGGTCTAAACATTCAACAATTATTAAGAACTATTTGATCTGTGAGAAGCACTTCACACAGACAATGGAACCATTTTGAAATCTGTCTTAATTTGTCCTCAGTCAGCTTACATTCAATTGTTTGTAAGCTAAATGTGTGTCATGAAACAAATTCTAAAATATAAAAAAAGAACATCTTTAAAAAGTTTTGCTCTAAGGAAAAATTGTAATCTAGAAAAAACAAGAAATACCACTGTTTTTGAGAATATTTAGTACAACCCTATACCCTGCTCAAGATCACATCACATTTCGAGCTTTGATGAAAGTAATATGGACTTTATCAGTGACTATTGGCAGTGCATAGGTATTATACAGGATTACTGTTATTTCAGCAGTAATCCTGTTGAAAATGGCAGAAAAAAATATCTGTTTTATAAAGATATATCCAGAGAAGTGTGGCTCAGGTTTTTGACCATTACAGTGAAATTCAGATTGAAACCAAAACTCTGCTGGTCATTTCAGCTCCCCATCTGTAAATTTAATGTGACCTGTGCTGGCCTGTTGTCAGAACATTTTTGTTTACAAATCAGGTTAGTTAAGATCTGGTTGTTCAAGAAGAACTACATCTGATCACAGTCATGGAAAATAAGTGAAAATACAACTTCTTCCTAAGGCAGCTGCATTCTTATCAGCAGCATCTGGAATATTATTTTATAATAAGAACTTAATGTTTTGCTCCTGTGAAATATTTATTCCTAATTAGTCCTAATTTGGGAGTGTTTTCTAAGTGCAGCTGTGCAAAGACACAAAACATGTCCGACAGCTCAGGGCTAATCCACATCACGGTGCACCGTCTGTGACTTCACCTCTGCAAAACTAAGCGACTCTGTCACACTGCATGCTCCACATCACCACTACAGCGCAGTATGGCTCCCAGCGTGAGCAATTTACAAATCTGATATCTGCAAGTTTGCAAAAGGTCACTAAGTGTGTTTCAGCTTAGTGAACTTGTATCTCTGGCTTCTCTGTATGAGTGCAATGAGTATTTAATTTCATTAAATTTTCTTTATGTGAACCAGATGTATTTGCCAAGTGAAAAACCATCAGTACCACTCAAAGTGGGCAGAAGAAGTATTTAAAATGGATGACTACCAAAGGAGATTCTGAGGAGAGTGGAGACAAGAACACAACTTTGAAAGAGTTGATGCGCAGGTGCAAAAAAAGAAGACTGTTGACAAAATGAGAAGAAGGGGCATCGTGAAGGAGAATGGGATTTGCAGACTGAGCAAACAAGAACAGGAAAATGAAGATGAGAACAGAATAAATGACTGCTTAATAAGCAGCAGGGGGGAAATAAAGCAAACAAGAGGAGGAGGATGTAGAAAAGAAACGCAGGATGGTTTTAGGAAAGACAATTTGTCCAGAAAAACGATACAGGAGATGAAAATAAAACATTACAGTATTTGCAAAACTTCCTTGTCTCTCTTTCTCTGACTGCACATCATCTGGACATTTTACATCATAACCTTAAACCCAAGACTGGATTCAAATAGAGCTTAGGCTTGACTTATAGAAAAGTTACTTTGGCATTTACAGAAATTTAAATAGTTAAATAAATAACCACTGCAATACAGATGTAAATTTTGCAATAAAACCGGCATTGCTAAGATACTGAAGAGTAGAGCAAAAAAGTAACTAGCAACTAATTTTACTGCACCTGTTTAATCCACGTTGCTCTTTCTTTCATGTAACACCTACAAAGCACCTACCTACATGATATTTCTCTAATACTACATTTTCCTCTGCTGAATATAATGTGTTTAAGTCCTTCCAGAGTAGTGTCAATGCTGAGCCATTCAGTACACGTGAGCAGATGTATACATCCAAGGAGATATTTCAAAGATGTATGCATATGCACTGTTTTTCTGCTTTAATATACATGTTATCAACATTTATCATCAAATAAAACGATTTCATCCTCAAATGCTGAAAGTATTTTGCAGATAGTTATATCCCAGATAAAGTGCCTGTACTTTTTGACATTCTGTAGGTTTTTCTATGTGGATTTTTATTGACAGTCCAGAGTCCTGTCACATTTTTTTTTTCTATCAGGCATATTCTTGGAGATCCTTGTCCCAGATGTTTTGTTTTATGGTCCTCCATGAGTTTTGATCCATCTTTGCAAAGGTATCCTCAACATGACACAGCTTTGTGTTGCCCATTCTGTGTGATGGGATTGATCTTTTCCAGGGTTACCTCGGTATCACTGTCTAAATTCCCAGAAATGGCCGGGGAGGGTTTCTCCAAGGCGTTGTTTACTATTCCTGCCTCAATATCGCCTCCACATCCATCTTTCCTCTGCAACTTGTCCTCCTGACACTGGATGCTGTGAGGAATCACATAACTTGCAGAGTTGTTCCCTTCCTTTGGGATGTGGCTCTTGGGCTGATACTGAGAGTTAGGGTTGGGCGCGGAGGCTGCCATGTTGTTGTTAATGCTGACGATCTCGATGGTGTTGCTCCCCGGGCACAACCGGTGGCAACCCAGGAGTATGGAGAAGGCCTTGCGGAAATCTGCATTGAAGGCATAGATGATGGGGTTGAGAGAGGAGTTTGCCCAGCCAAACCACACAAACACATCGAAAGTGGTAGAGCTGATGCAGAAGAAGTCTGCGGACCCATCTGGCAGGTTTGGTTCGCAGAAGGGAACCATGCAGTTCAGGATGAAAAAGGGCAACCAGCAGCACACAAACACACCCATGATGACCGAGAGCGTCTTTAGGACTTTGGTTTCTCGTTTGAACGACATTTTGAATGAGCTCTCGCTCTCTATGTTTGAGCTGTTCCCCATACTGCTATGTCGGTTTTTGGCACTCTCTGCTGCACGTTCCAGGGCAGATATTCTCCGTATTTGTTTCTGGGCAATGCGGTAGATCCGGGTGTAGGTGACGAGCATGATTGCTACAGGGATATAGAAACTGATGAGGGAGGATGAGATGGCGTATGTCCTATTAAGGCTAGAATCACAGTTATCAGGGGGCAGTTCACTGGGGTATGTTCCATTTAGCTCTGCATAGCTGGTGGTCTCAGCTTTGTGCCAGTCTAGCTGAACAGGAATGAAGGAGATGAGTACAGAGAGGGTCCATGCTACACTGATCATCAGGCACGCCACTTTCGGGGTCATTTTGCGTTCATAACGGAACGGGCTGGAGATGGCCCAGTAACGATCAACACTAATAACACACAGGTTCAAGATAGAGGCAGTGGAACACATGATGTCAAATGCTACCCACACATTGCAGAATGCTCCAAATGGCCAAAACCCCATGATCTCTGTGGCTGCCTTCCATGGCATCACCAAGATGGCCACCAGAAGGTCCGAGATGGCCAGCGAGATTACAAAGAAGTTGGTGACCTTTGACCTCAGGTGTCGGAACTTGGTGACAGCTGCACACACCAGGGTGTTGCCAAGCAGTGTGGTGAAGATAAGCAGGGAGAGAAAGCATCCTGTCAAGACTCGCTTGGACGAGTCCCTCTCTGGCGTGAGCTGCTTGCCGTCTCGTACTGTTGAGAAATTCTGATCCATTGTTTGTAATCACAGCGCTAATGCAGTGAGAGAGGGAGGGTGGGCGAATGGGGATGTTAGCAATCACCCCATCACATCCCCAACCTGCAGCAGCTGTGCTTCTGCTAGAGTTTTTTTTTTTTTTTTTTTTACCCGAATGGGGGAGGAACAAACTGTCTGGGTACCAGCTCTCTCTTGGACTGGGTCATCCACTGGCTGCTCGTCACAAAAAACATTTTTGTGCAAGTGCAGCTATAAATTTTTTAAACTTTTCTCTTCAGAAATTTCCTTCGCAAAAATCCCCGGTCCACTGATTCCTGCAGCAGCAGTAAAAGCAGCAGAAGTGCAGACGGTCGACATTCTAGTGTGTAGAGGGGGAGGAATTTCCCAGCTGTTGTTTGCATCCAGACTCCCAGAAGAGGTTTTCATGTAAAAATCTGAAACAAAAACGAAAAGTGTATCCTTCAGTTAATGTTCTTTTTGCACCCTGTAATTGCATGCAGCAAAAGTTTCACAGCACACTGCCCTTGAGCTTCCCAGTCAACAGCGGTTTTGCCAATCATTAGCCTTATATACCACCACATCAATGACTTCTATTGATGGTTTCTGCGCGGCATTTATCTGATTTGTTTAACGATTTTCGAGGCGTGTCCCTGTAGTTATATTGGGCACTGTAATGATTTGGATCCACCCCTAATAATATATGCCTTCTTTTTAAAAAAAATCTGTTTTCTTTTATCTATTTTTTTATCAAGCAAAAAGTTTTGAGATGGACAGCAATTTTAACCATTCAGTTCATTTTAAGACAGACAATGATAAAAAAAAGAAGTAATGATTAGATATTAAAACATGTTAAATTGTGTCATGAATGTTTGGTCCTATAATCCTCATGAGTTTTTCCTTACATGTGGGTTAATGCGCATGGCGATTCCTGTTAACGCAGCACAGCAGCTTCTGAGCCTCTTTCAAAAAAAAAAAAAAAAAATGCCGCTCGTTCTGACCACCCACCTAAATCATCTCTAGCAGTCTGATCCCTTGTTGGACGTCCTTGAAATTCAGGGGCAGTTTTAGTTGTTCATCCTGAGGCTTTTTTTTTTCTCTTTTTTTCTTTTTAAGACAGCGTGCGCCTTGCTGCGTGAGAATGGACAGCTCCTGAAACGCTCAGGCGTCCTGGGTCGGCTTATAAAATATGTTTGAATTCAAAAATTCAACAAAGTGCTAAAAAAAAAAAAAATCATTAAGCTCAAAATCGAAACCGACATTTATCCAGTTTGTATCTTGATGCCAGGGAAGGCGCTCACCCTGTCTGCGCTCTGCTCTGTGGAAAGCTCTCCAAGACGTCACGGTCCTCAGGTGTTTTTTCGGTCCTTACTGGCTTTCCATTTTGTTTCGCCGGGGTGTATCCTTGTTTGTGCGACATTCAGTGGGACTGCAGCACCGCGACGTGACTGCGGCCGGCGGAGAGTGACGGAAATGACTCTGATCTCTCCACGGGCGTTATTCATGCGCGCTCTCCTCTCTCTCCGCTCAGCTGCTGCTGCCTGCTGCTGTGGTCCACGTCCCCTGCCACAACTTCTCCATCCAAGGAGATTGTAAGGGTACAGCCACGCAACTCAAATCTAAACCCCATAACGCTTGCACAGAATTTAAGCTGTGTAACGTGACCTGGTTGAAGTTTTTTTTTTTTTTCTCGCGTTAATTTTTTCTCCAATGTTAGAGAAAAATGTTTCACTATATTTATCAAATTGTATGACGGAAGCAAAATTGTAAGAACTTTCTTAGTTATTAACTTTATATAACGCAAATGCCACAAAAGTGTAAAATCAAAAGTCGTGCTAAAAATGTATTCCCCATATGTCCTGCGCTGAACTTGTGGCCAGCAGGCCCAACGAGGCCATCTACTGGATGCAAAATGGTAGGAGGTGATGTTTGACATCTCAAGCAATAATCCATTATTGTCACCCAAGTAAACAGAGCAACAGTAACTCTGAGTTACTTGAGTCATGACAGCAAATAGACCCAGAGAGATCAAGAGTGTAAATTCACAAATGGCCAAAGGATTTAAGGCGTAAATAGAATTTCATTTGGGGGTGGCACACTTCCAAAGCAAGGCTTGGCTGAAGATTCTCCCAAAACATGTGTAGCTCAAATTGCCAACTTCGTCTGCTTACATTTAAAGTTTAAAGTGGCCTGCGACACGTAACTGCATTGTTCGTCTTGTTCAAAATCTAAAATACTTTGAATTATCAATCCTAACCTTGAGAAGTAAACATAGAGCAAAGATTCTTTAAAACAGAGTTTGAGTTTTTATTTATTGTTATTCTATTTGTTAAATACACAAACTTTACCTTTTCATTGTTTTGTTTTGTTTTTTGGCATCAGGACTACCTTAAGTTGAGACAAGCATACTGCTTTATATTACCCATTTAACTTTCTATTGAATTGTCCTGCAAAGATTATAGGTTGTTTAAAACTCTTTTTGTGATTTGAGTTAATAAATGAATGTTTTTTTCTCTTTCCAAACTATTACTAAACAATTTTCAACTCCTGCCCATTGACCAAATATTGTTGTCTTGGGAGTAGTTGTTTGGTTACAGCCCTAGTAACTAAAAAAAGCTTTTTATCTCCTTGCTGAAACCTATATATGTGCTACATCTGCCACTAACTCTTTGGTTTTTCTTTAACGTAAAGTAAATGTTAAGTACTGGACCAGTCCTTCTGTTTATTCTCTGGTCTATTTTCTCAAACCCCCAGTTGGCCAAAGCAGATTGGGGGTTTTGAGCCTCACAGATGGATGAAAACACTGAGTCTGGTTCAGCTAGAGGTTTCCCCCAGTGGAAAGGGAATCTTTTCTTTCCACTGTCAACACACACATATTCAGTGTGAGGGATTGCTTCAGAGTTAATCACTTGATGCAATTGGTTTTATTTCTGTAAATAGATAGCGTTTTTGTTTGTTTGTTTTACTAATTAATGTGATGTGATGAACTGAATTTGAGATTGTGTTTTCTGGCCTCAAATTGGAATCTATTAATCTGAATCTGCTAATTGAACCAAATTGACAGTATATAAATTAGGTTAGTTTGTCTGGTAAAGGCTGCAACAGACTAGCGACCTGTCTAGGGTGACCCCGCCTCTCGCCCAGAACGTTAGCTGGAGATAGGCACTAGCACCCCACTCGACCCCACTAAGGGACAAAGGTGTAAAGAAAATGGATGGATGGATGGATGGATGGATGGATGGATGGATGGATGGATGGATGGATGGATGGATGGATGGATGGATGGATGGATGGATGGATGGATGGTAAAGTCCCTTCAGACGACATTTGTTGTGAAAAGGCAGTATATATTAACAAATCTTCAGATACGTCTGTTTGGTTCTGGTACAAATAATCCACTATACTTCCTTTTTGACAAAAATCTGATTATTTTAATATAAATAAAAGTAGAGATGCACTGATCACAGTTTTCTGGCCGATTGCTGATCTTAAAGAAGTCTGACCTGCTGATTCTGATTTTGGCCGATACCAATTTGTTTTGGTCTGAAATGTTGCTAAACATATCAAAAGAGTCGCTGAATTGGCAACAGTGGGGTATGCAGACATGACCTGACTCTCAGTCAAACCTCTTTCTCGACAGAGCAATAGAGGACAGTGGTTGATTTTTAGACTTTTGCTGAAGTAGATAAGATTGGTAAATAATTTCGGCTGCACATATACATAGCAGACAATACCGAGGAAATCGGCACTGATTTATCAGTGGATTCCTAATAAACAGGTTATGGTCAGGGTAAGGCACGCAGACATCTGTCAGTCTCTGAAATGTTTTCTGTAGACATGGACACATGGCTTTTTCTGAGGCATCTTATCCAGAAAGAAATGGTGGACATGAATTGAAGAAGCTCCTGCTAGGTTGTTAGGCCTCTGGCTCCCCTCAGCCAGATTGAATATTAACAATTTAAAGACATAAAAATCCTCAATGGACTCTGCCCCTCTGTGTCTGCGTGTTCTGTGACTTTAGTTTTATTTGTGTGCATGTATGACTTTGCATGTCTGTAAATATGTGAGTTTTTGTGCATGCGTGTCCATGTGTGTGTTTGCGGATGTGTGCACATGTATTTGTGTCTGTGAGTGTGTGTGCCCATGTGAGTAATACATGTAGACAAGCCAAGTGTAAGAGGCCTGGCAGACATAACGCCCACGTTTCCCTGTAGCACTGAGCCGGGGTGTGTGTGCAGCTAACAAAGTTCAAACCAAAACCACGTCACGTACAAACACACTGCGACTCGCTCATTCACTCACAGGCGCTCAAGACCGCACACAACCAGCCATGCAGGGTAATTTATGTCTGCTCCAAAAGGCAAACAAAACAGAAACGGAATGGAATAAAATAGAATGAAAAGTACTGGATTAGGAACAGAATACATTGTTACACAACAAATCTCACAGAATCGATGATCGCTAAGATGAAAAAAGCTAAAAGATAATTGTAGCTGTTGTATCGCTTGTTCGTTTTTAAATGAGGGACTGATGGGTTTAAAACAAAAGAAAGTAATGTTATGAAACCTTTTGTCTAAAACAACTTCTGTGTCTTTGAAAGCCTTCTTTAAAAACCATTCAGCTTAAATGTCATATTTTTAGGACGTTTTGGACAAGATTCTTGATTGTACAAAAATCCAGGGTACCGATTAAGAATGACCTTTTGGTTACATAATAGAGTTTAATGCTCGCAACAGACAGAGCCCACTCAATTTCATGTTAACTTGATTAAAAAGAACTGCCAGAAATGAGGCAAAAACCACTACACAATACCAGATCCACAAAGATCATGTTTATATACTGGTCTACATCCTTCATAAACATTTACTTTGCGGCAAACATCTACCATGACTTCCTGTGGCTTCATTTCGAATTTGGCTGTTTGCTAACACAGGCCTTCACATTCTAGCTATATGTTAAGCTGGGAACAAAAAAAATGTGTGCAGTCCTTTCCTTCAATTTCAAAATTATGTATTGAATTTACTACATAAAATCCCAATAAGATAAATTGACATTTTTGGCAGCAAGGTCATAATATTTAGAGGTTTAAATGGTATAACTCTTTTGTTTGAGTATTGTAATATTCATTTAATTGTCAAATATTATCCACAATGCATTGAATAACATTTTGACAATAACAACCGGGGGAATTTGGAGAGGGAGTAAAACTGAGTGATTATAAAACTGACCACATACAGATCAGTAATTATAAAGCTCTTTCTTGTACAAACATCCAGATTTCTGTACTTGTACATTTCATTCTGTACTTGGTTTTAGACATACTCTTTTTATTGTCAAATCCTGGTTTCCATTCCAAGGCAAGTATAAGCCAGGACAGACAAGGAATGAAATTTATGTCTTCAAAAACATTGAAACTGGAAAGCGTTATGTTGAGTTGCTTGAAGCTTAACTACTTCTATGACTCTTTTTATCCCTTTTCTTACCAACTTCTTTGAACAAATTAAATTGGAGCCAGACGATGTAAATGTTAACCTCTGTGAGTCTTTTATTCCCAGATATCAACGAAATCCTGGTAATGAGGAAGAAAAGAAGATAGTGAAAAGTGTCAGTAATGTGTTCCATGGAAGTAATAAAAGCAATGCAATCAAATCATATGATATGAAATCGCTATATATGCATAAGGACTGTATATAAAAGATGTAAGACTAAAAGTAATGAATGTGTTCTTATCCAGCTTGAATTCTGTGTCACATACTTAATAACTGGGAAGCCACTGTGGCTCTTTTTTTCACGACCATTCAGAAAATTTGTCTTCATTGCAAAATCAAACTTCAAATTAGCAACATCTTTAGTTATGCCATCATATTTTTCCCTGCTTATCTCATGTACTGTAAATAAATCCCCCCTTAGCAATCAGAGTTTCCAAGCAAAACAGTAATTAAGAGCCTGATGGCTCAATAAACTCTGTGAGAGGCCCACTTAGTCCCATCTCACATAATAAACTGTCATCTATTTACACTGCATTCATGCACAAACACTATAGGTTCAGGATTTTTTTATCAGATTTGAGCAGTTCGGATAAATGTGATATCTTGTCTTTTTTTTAAAGTGATAAGAGTTATTGAATGTTTCAGGGGAAAAATATCAAAGGTGGGATGACACCACCTGCACATTTTCTTCTCACTGAGCAAGGGGACAGCAGCAACCTGAGACCTGCATGTCAAACTGACAAGAACAATCCACCTGAGCTCAATGACAGATCAAGAAAGTGTGTGTGTGTGGCAGAGAGGGAGAGTCTGCAAGCTGTGTCTATTTTTCATCTTTCTTTGCTATCAAGAAAGACATGATTGAGTTTTCTACCATGACTCCTCTCTGTGTTTCTTAGCTTCATATAAATCTACACATAAAGTGCTTCCATAAGTACCAGTATTGTTATAACAAGATCTAGTAATCAGGTGGTCATTTTTATAAATAAATTTTACACAGTATGAATAAACCTTTTTTTTTAACCTTTGACCTTCCCAAATATAAAACCTTCTTCCATCTGAAAGGAGGTCTTGAGGCCACTGAGGCTGACTCAAATCACAGTCCACACCTTGTAAATCTCTCCCCAGATTCTTGAGTGGGATTTGTTTGAAAATCCTCTGATGGTTTGCCTATTCACCCTTTCCTCGCACTTTTTCCTTTCGGTCAACTTTCCATATTTCTTTCCATAACTTTCCATATTTCTTAGCAATGACCTTCATTTTTTTAGCCTCATTGGAAAGTTTGTCTGCTGGAAAACTGCCACTATGTCAGTCTTCACAGTTGGAAATTGCAAACTTGTGCACAAATCAAATTTTGTGCTTTCAATACCAGTAACATGTCACACTCTTTTGTAAATGGAAGGTAATTGTTTAACTCTTGATTATTTATTCCTGATCACATCTAAAACTTTGGGTTAACTAGAGATAATAATAGTGTTTTATATCCAGGAATAATTAATCTGAATATAGTGTTTATTATAAATAGGGTGTTGAATAACATGATTACTTATGGTCTATTTTGAAAATGCAGATGAAGTCTTGAAAAAGTTAAGAGATTAATGTCTACTAAACAGAGACACTGACTGAGAGTGACGTGTCCAGGTCAGAACCATTTGTTGTTAACATCTGGTCTCATTTTGTAAACAATTTCATAACACTTTTCTGATCATTGGGGCCTGCCCATAGCAATGCATAGGGAGGGCAGTGACTGACCTGCGAAGCAGGTCAGTCACAATAGGTGGCAGGCACCTATTGTTCTTCACCTAATAGAATGTCTCTTTATTGGGGCCTGCCCATAGCAATGCATAAGGGTGGATTGGTGGATTAACCAAACCACTGTTTCACATTGTATTAGTGTGGTTATGAAAATTAAGTTTACTGAAAGTTTCAAAATAAAACTCTGCAATGTCCACTCACGAAAGTGCACCGCCATAGGCGGTGCAAAAAGATTAAGCTTTTTTATGTTTTTTTTGTCTCAGGTCATGCACGCATTAGCATTTTACCTAAAATAAGCTTTTAGCCAATTTATTTACTTATTAGCCATGTTTAGAATACTGATTGGACTGAGTCAATGGGTGACAACATGGTAGTGATACCCCACATTCTACTGATACCATTCATCCTATTATTAGCATTTGGGCTAATTTTACCGTATGCAACATACTGAATGGTACAAGTACAACTTAGTCCACCTGCTTCTCACTCTCCACAGGTTATTGACTACATTGAAGCTTTATTTAGCATTAAGGCTAATTTTTAGCATCGGAACGCTGGGTCCAAACCGACGGGCACACTTTGGCAGGCCCCTCAAAATTACTGCAGGAATTTTCTAGTTTTAATATGTCCTTCTATTTAATTTTGTTTAAATATTTCTTTAAAATCTGATTAAAACAAAAGGGTATGTATACATAATTATGTATGCTGCACTATAGTGGATTTTGACAAGTTATGGTTTAAGTAATGGTTTTCTGCTCTAATGAAGAAGACAAACGTAACAAAGAGTTACACAATCAACAACGACTATTGAAGCATTGCAACTTTATAATCTGTTGAAGCATTTGCTTTTGCAGGAAGATTATTTTGGGATTTTTTTAAAAAGAGGATTTCTTTCTGTGATCTCTGGTTGTAGTACAAGCTGATGTAAGCTTAGAGAAAATAGAGAAAATCTGTCGCTTCACCAAGGGTGGCGGGAAAAAAAGCAGCACAACATATAATCATCAGTTAGCACTGAAAGGGAAAAAACAACCTGGGTTGCAGTTTGTCATAGTGGTTGAAAGCAAGTAAAGAAGATTATTTAATACCGTTGCAATTTATTTGAAGCTTATTACCATAACAGAATGTAGACAGTGCCTTGCTGTTTAAATACCTTAAATCTTTTCACATTTCCTCACATTACAATAAGCTAAATCTACTGTTGTTGTTACTTGACCATTTGACCATCACATTTTTGCAACATGGCCTATGGTGAACTCCAAACTGAACTTCTCATGAATTTTGTTTAAAAATGGTTTTCTTGTTTCCTCCTTTTTCACCTATGTTAGTTATGAACTATTTTGTTTTGGCACATCACACAAAATCCTAGCAAAATACATTAATGTGTTGTTTTGCAGGCCTACCCTTTTCTTCAAAATATTATTCAGTTGAGAAACTTTCAAGTGGAGGACTAAAGCACATCATATTTATCAATTTAATCCTCTTTAGAAACTGTTCTTGGAAACATTTGGTGGGGGATTGTTGACCATTACTTTGCTTCTGCCAAATAACTGTGAGGAAATGTTCCTTTCCGACAGTGCATGTTTTTATGTTCCTTGGCTTTTATTGTGTTCTACATTAAATCTTCGTCAGTGATCTATCAACATCACTCTGTAATTAATGTTAACTTGAACATATTAACCCCAAATATGATGAACATCACCTAGTGTTGTCAATATTTTGACCAATAAATGCAAATTATATGAATGTTGTTTCAGGATATTTCAGCTAGCTTTTATCCCTTTGTGTGCACTTTGAAATAAAACGTATTTTAGGAATCTTCTCCACATAGGTTCACACAGCTGTCACAAAAACTTGGATTTTGTTGTTAATTACTGTGCCAATTGTAAAATTGTCGTCTTTTTTTTGTTCAGTTTGTTGAAGTACAAATAATGTGGCATACTTCTGGCAGCATAATGAATATTTGTCTAATTAGCAATCATGCGTCTTATTCCAGTAGCTTCTGATTATTGCTGCAGCTGTGTTTCAAAGCATTTCTCACATACGGTTCACCCACTTTATAAATTTGTCAAACTGATCCATTCAGTCACAGTTTTTATTTATAAAATTGACATAACTACTGTTGACACTTGAAACAAATGAGCTTGTTATTGATTCTCCGCTCTATTCATTGAATTTAGTTTCTTGTCTGCTCTGAACTGACTCACAGGGGCTCCAACCTGGCTGCACTCCCAAGATCAAAACATCCCTCAGACAAACATCAATACGTCTGTTTATATCCACTGCTGTGAAAGCCAGACTTTCATCAGTGCTCTTGTCACTTCCCTGGCTATCACAGAATATCCCGGAGTCTTTAATAAAGGTTCAGATGAGCTGTCAGCACCTGTATGTTGACTAAGATTGATATGAACCATAGATATTTAAGGTTGAAGTCACTAAAAATGTCTATAATCCAGAACTTAGACATGTTTTCAGATTTTTACCAACACTTAAATATAACACTTTAATGGATCATTGTAAAAAATAAAACATTTATTTTATCGTCACAAATTGTTGAAAGCTTATTTTTCAGATATAAGTGTAACTGAATAATGTAGAACAGCATTTCCAGTGGTCCCTTATGATGACAAGGAATAAATTACCAAATCCAAATAATTAAATCCATTTAACAGAATCAGCAACAGTGGGAGCAGGACCAGACGGTACAATCACCTCTCTTGTTCACAGTAATTGCTCTTCTTCCAGCTGCCTGTCTTCAGCGATTTCACTAGGCTTTACCTGCTCTGATTTCACACACCAGCTCATTCTCTATCATATAATCTGCACCACAGTCTGGAGCAGAGCTTTCAGCTAAAATGGGATCTGTCGGGCAATCAATGAGTCAACAGATTCAAACAATTCTGATGCCTGTGCTCTGTACATTGTTATCTTTGTTCCCCTCCAAAGCAGGTACACAGAATTATTTTTATTATGTGAAATAATAAGAAAAAGTACACAAAACAAACAACCCATTCACACAGGGCAGACGTGCATTGAACTTTAATATACGTTTAAATGAAGGATGAATACAAGTGTAGTTAAAAATTGTGACAATTCTTTTTGTCACTCATTTCAGAAAATAAAACTCAGGCACTACATAGATTCATTACATATATATTGAAATATTCCAGGTCTATTTGTTTTTAATTTAACTTTCTGACACACTGAACGTTGTTTTCATCAAATAAAGACTGAATGAATGACAAAAATATAAAATTTTGTGCAGTGAGAATGCCAAAGGAAATGGTATTTGTAACCAAATAAAAAACATTATGCTATATTTTACCACTGCCATATATAATAACTGTGCCAATATTAGTGGAAAAGAGCTGTAGCTTTAGTTGCTAACCCTGATTTTCTGGAAAGAAAAAAAATCAAAACTGCTTGTGATAACAAAAATATGTGTTGAAAAAATCAAAGTACCTAAATTTCACAGGCAAACTTAAATCAAATGTTTGATTTAAAGTTGAAAGGTCAAGTGCAAGCTCTTAGTCTTCTCAGGATCAAAGTACAAAGATTTTGTTGCTATTTGTGTTCAAAGCTTCAAATATTCACTGATGGTGCAGCAAAACCATCTTAATCTTTCAGAACGATTTCAGAAACATTGAAAACATTGATTTGTAGTTCATAAAAAACATAATTCTATTTAATGATATCCTCGGGATATATGAAAAAAAAATACACTGGGGTGTAAACATTACAGCCTTGCATTACTATGCAAAAGCACATCCATGTTTCTTTTCATGTAGTTTGTCAATATTAGGAAACAAATGGAAATCAACAGCCACTAAAAATAAAAGACCTGAGATATGAAGCAGAAAAACATAAGAATGGTAAAAATTGGTGGTTATTGTCAGAACCACAGAGTGCTGGAGGGGATTCCTTTTCCTGTGTGCTGACTTTGTTTTGCCTTATTCCCACATTTGTGCTCTCCTTCTTTCCCCGCCCTCTTTGATGTGGGATGGTTCTTCAGGTTGACTCAGTCCTGTTTCACTCCTCACACCACAAGGTCCCAGTAGGAGGCTAATCTCAGCCCAATTAGAGGACAGCTTAAAATACAATCTGTGTCATGTTTGTGTTTGTGATATCACAGGCTCTTTTGATTTCAGTTTGGCACTAGTCATTTGGGCTTAGCCAACACAGCTACACAGCTATAAACATGAACCTAAATTTGGTTTATCCTTTTGATCTCTTCTCCTAATAACTGAAAAGTTGTCTTCCATATAAACAAGATAACTGAGCTGTGTGGATTGGTCTTGAGTTATAACTGGATAAAAAAAAATGAAAGAAGGAAAGTTGTATCCCCTGTCTCACCTAAAAGTTTGCAACAGTATTTCTCTCTTGCTTTCTACAGAAAAAAAAAAACACTCATTCTATATCCAGTCCATCAAAATGAATGTGTCTACGCAGTTTTACTTCACCTGCCCTGTATTAAAGAAGGAATGGAGATTATTGGACGACTAGTGACTTTAAAATAACTATTCAGTGCATTTATTTTTGCCCCCAAAATTAATTCCAGGCAGTTCAGATCATGGAGTCATGAGTTAGTAATTATGGTCAAAATGGTATCTGATTTACAGCTTCAAATTTAGTGCAAAACCAATGAGCTATTTCATTCTTTTGCTAATTTTTAGTTAGTCAATCATCTTATTAATTCTAATGTACTCCAAAAAAGCTGTTAGATAAATATAAAATTTCTGTGTACTGTTTTAAGCTTTCTCTACATTTCCCATTCTAAACCATGTAATCTGACTAAAACAAAGAACACGCCTCTTATTTCAGCATTCAAATGAAACTTGTTTCCATAAGTGATTCAAGAGAATCAATATTTGTAAATGAAAGAGAGGCAACTGTCTGAAATTAGATTACTTTAAAATAATTGCTCTATAGTTGCTTTTTCTGTAGCTACACTAACTGGAGTCAGTAAACTGTCATTTTAAAGCAGGAGACAAGAAAAAACTCAGATCTCAGAATTGGTTTGGGCATCCGACTGTAGAAGTGAATTCTCTCTTCTGAAGGATCCATTTTGAGCATTGCTAAACTTGGCTCATCTGTCAGAAATCTTATTTATCCTAGAAATAGACACTGTGTCGAAGCAGTATAGAAACTATTCAAATGTACCTCAAACAGCCCCAGTTTATAAACTCTGAACCATCCAGTTATGTAACTAAAAGAAAAACTGTCATGGAGGCAACGCGAGAATGGGAATTTTCTGATATTGTCTACTTAAAGTTTTCTTCTCAAAATAGATGTAATATTGTATAAACACAATGTTGTAAGTACTGTATGATCCTATATGAATCATAAAAGTTATTTAAATTGAAGGAGATGCATTGCTGATTAGGCAGTAAACAATATTAATATAGACTATGTGATTCATTAATCACATTTGTTTTTCAGTGCTGCTCTACCAAAATGTTTGCAAATAGCTCCCTGAATTAAGGTCATGACTTTACAATATAAATCACCTTGAATGTTTTTAATAATCAAGAAGTCTGTTCATTTTGTTCAGAATTGCAGTTAGAAGGTTTTTAGTGATTCTGTTACTACTACTATTATTATAGTCGTGTTTATTTCGTACATGCTGGATAAACTGAATTGCGTGTTGGCTTTGGGTGTGTGTGTGTGTGTGTGTGTGTGTGTGTGTGTGTGTGTGTGTGTGTGTGTGTGTGTGTGTGTGTGTATCTCCCTGGCCTTCTGCTCCTGCAGGGTGTGACTGTCAGAACTGGTTCCAGCTGGAGCTCATCAGCCGATCATTCGGAGCAGCAGGTAGAGGAGCAGCTTGTCTGTGGCAGACTCCTGATCATTCCATGACTACAAGTGGTAATCAGGTCCTAAGTTAATGGTATTTGAAGTAACTTTACCTTATGTTTATTTTCTTCCTTGTTCCCTCTGTTGATGATGTCCTGGATCCTGTTCCTCATCCCTACGAGCTGCTCCAGTGTTCCCTCTGGACTCTCTCTTCCTGTCTTCTAGCCGCTCCTCGGACTGATCCAGCGACAACACTTGCGTGGATTTCTTGTCAAGCTACCCCTGCCTGTCCACCCTCCGTCACTCTCCATCACCATCCATCCTGAAATTAAAGTCAAACAATCACCAACTGAAAGCTCATCCCACTCTGCCAATCTTAGTCTCATAGGGCTCATTTTCTCCATAAATCCACCTCATCTCCATTAACAGAACCATTCATCTTCACCTTTCCCTGCAATTCTTTGTTCAAGCAACATTAATCAGTCACCTTCTGTCCTAGTGTAGACCTGGGTCAGTACTCTGGCCTCCTTTTAATGCTGAATCACAAACCCACAAAAAAAAAAAAATCTATTTTAACAGATTTATTCTGAATTCATCTTTTGGTTACAAATCAACAGTAACACACTTTCAGGCCTCCCTGAAGTGTCCTAAAATATAGACATCAGTAAAGCATTTTTCAATGTATATATTTAACAAGGTTTTTTGTTTTGTTTTTGTAGGGTATGGATTCGTGTCAAAGAAGCCCATTTTTCTTCCTAACTGTTCAAATTGGCAAGCAAGAACTTTCAATTGCATCTCCCCATCCTTTGATTACCAAAATTGGGTCCAGCTCAACCTATTGATCCCAAAACAATCCCAATCCCAACCTGACAAATTTATAATTTTTGTTTATTTTTATCAGAGCCTACCTTATTTAAACTAATGAACAGAGGTTCAGACCATGTCACCATTTGTCACTTGTGTGGTTTCTGAGGAGAAAATAAGTTGACCAGTTCTGACTCAGGCTCACTGATGGGTATTGCTGCTCAGTTTAATTCTGTTGTATTGAGCCGGCTCTGAATTAACATGAACTCAGAATCATTTTGAAGGCAGACCATAAATGATAAGTAATTGCTCTGCTCAGGTTTTCTTTGGGGCAAGCACACAAATATCAATAATTATTTATTACACATGTAAATTACACCTGCTCATTCTCAGACTACTTCAGCTTTTAGATTGCATTGTTTTTTATGTTGACAACAAAAACAACCAACAAATTAATCAGCATACAGACAAGGACACAACACTGACTTCATTATCTCCATTCAACGACAACCTGCCTGGCTGTTGTTTCTCTGCATTTATTTCATGTTTAAATTTATCTTACCTTCCTCTAATTGCTTTCACAACTTTTGCATCAATAAATAATTGTTTTTTTGTAATTAGAAATTACATTGAGAGGATACACATCCAAGGGCATAACGCAAAACATGCTGACAAGGAGCTGAGTAAGAGGAACTGTCTAATTGCTATGCAGAGCAGTGCAGATGCTCTGATGGAAGCCAGTCATTGCTGAATTATGGATTTGACTTTATTTG